TCTTATCCTAGGCATTTTCAGTATTTTCTTTTTTTTTTTTATGGCATCTGACACACATAAATGATTGACTAAAATGGGAGCCTTTTCAAGAGAGAAATCATGGGGTTTAGAGAAGTGACTCAGTGGATAAAATCTACAGCTATATCATATTCGAGCACTCACACAGCAAGCCAGTTATGGTCCCTTGCTGACTTCAGCCCAGTCAAAAAACAAGAGGTCTAAATACAGGGAGGTATTCTGGCTCAAAAGAATAAGACATATGATTCCACCCTCTGGTCTCCATAGATACATATTGTGTCTACACCTATAAACAGATGTGCACATACATACTAAATAAATAAGTCATGGCACATGTTTGGCTTTTATGCTTCATTATATACAATGTTGCTAGTTATCTACAACAAAATACTCTGAGAACAGCATCTCTTTACTAGTTTAACTCCCCTTATTGTGAATTCAGCCAATGCAATCATTCTGCACTATCCCTGAAGAAACACCTTTAGTTGACAAATATGGCACTGAAAATGTTTATGTACTGAGCATCTATGATAGCCCAGGATCTGTCCTACAGATTGAGAATTTACAAAAAAAAAAAAAAACAAAAACAAAATGGGCTTTCCTTATGGAAAAATAACTGAGAGTAAATCATTTCAGCCTATAAAAGAATAATCCTTTTAAGAAACACCCTTTTGTATATAACCAGAGTATAAAATATAATAATGCTTTATGATTTTATTAAAAACTATAAGAATATATTTTTTTATTTTCAAGATGATTTTGTTGTAACATTTATCCCTTTCCTCCCTTCAAATCCTCCCATATGCCCCACCCTTTTCTCCTTCAAATTCATTGCCTCCTTGGTCACTGTTATTGCATGTATATGTAGACATACATACATATAGAGTCCTAAGTATAGCCTGTTCAAGTTGGCTAACGTTATTTGTATGTTTTCAGGGATGACCATTTGTCACTGGACAACAAATCCGTGTGCTCTTCCCTGGAGAAGACCACCTCTCCAGTTCCCAAGTTTCTTCATTTGCCGACAGTTCTTTGTGTAGGGTTGAGGTCTCATGGGCTTTTCTCTAACTAGTTTGGCATTAGAAAATAATCTTGACAAATTCTTTTTAATTATATTTTTATCCCTTTTATGTTTGTTTTGCCAAGGTTTAAGTATGTGTGTCACATTTATGTATGGTGCAGACAGATGTCAGAAGAGGGTATAAGATCCCCTATTGACTAGAGATTCCAGATGGTTGTGGTCTAACATGTGGGTGCTTTGAATCAAACCTGGACCTGTAGTTGCTTCTTGTTCCACCAATAGACTTGAAGAAATGGCCTTAGGTTATGGCTTCAGTGCTCAGACATGACCCTTTTTTAAAGAAGAGGAGGGCCTCACTTGGGCTCTCTCTTGGGTTGTGGTCTCAGTATCCTAGATTGCTGACCCTGTGCCTACAGGGGCAGAAGACCGCAGCAGTTATTTACCATCGTGTGAGTGCTCCCTAAATAAATATCTGTCATTCTTTATTCGGGTGTTTGTGGACTTCCTTTAACCTGCCTTCACTTTCTGCCCAACATAGGCCATGAACCCAGGACCCTGAGATTAAGTGTCTCATGCTCTACAGACTGAGCTAGCCAGGCCATGATGGTGAAAGCACCAAATCCTAGCCAGTAGCCACTAAGGATACACACAAGCTCTGACTCAAAAACATAAGAATTCTGCTCTTAGTTGTATCCCTCAGAAAATTCTGAGGGAAAGAATATGCCATGAGATATGCAAAGCAGAATTTCGTGAACTATCTTCATGAAAAAGATCTGCCATTATAAAATAAATGGTGAACTCTGAACTTCACCGCATACAATATATCTCAGAAAGGTAACATGTAGGGACTCTCTGCAAGAGCAACAAGTGCTCATACCTGCTCTCCAGCCCCATCTTTAAAATTCTACCAAGTGTGTGTTGTCTTTCTGTTACATCCTCTTGTGTAGAGAAAACCCATGCCATAGTGTGGACATAAGTGGTTTAGGTTATTTTAATAGAGCCAAAATTATAAAAAATATTTCTTATTTAGTGCTCTAAAATTTAGAGTAGGAAAGATTGCTCAGTTTATTCTTTCCAAATAAAAGCATGTGCCAAGCTTGTTGCATGCTATATTGTGTTTATTACCCATGATTTCAGAGGGCACTAAACCAGTGAACAGTGCTTAGTCTACTAATAACTCAGAAAGAAATAACCAAGTGTTTCACATGTAGCTAGTTTTGTTCCACCATTCTGCAAAGAAGTACCCAATAAGAGAGTCTTTCATGTTTTGAGACAGATCATGCACAAACAGCCCAAAATTGTGGAGATCTTGAGTTGGCCATTGTCTCATCTAATTTGGCAACAATGAGACAACTAATGGGACTAACTGACTTGCCACTTACTGAGTTATTTGTATGATCAAAGCAATTATTAACATTTTGTTTCCTTGAACCCAGCTCCAATTCCAGCAAATGAGTGCAAGGACCAGCACCCCAAGCTGCCCACATTTAAGACCAGTAATATGCTCCCATGGGTAACCAGGCTATCCAATAGAACAGAGTGCAGTGTGGAGATGAGAGCAGATTTTTATGCTCCTGCTCTGCTGTTTTCTAATCACATCAGTAAAGCAGGTCACGGGATTCACAATCTCATTTCTCATTTACAAAATTGACTTTCTCCCCTATTCACCCTTTATGGATATTGTGACACCTGCCTGATATAGTATGTGAAAGTGCTTGGAAATGGCATGGCCCTCAACCCTTCATTGGTGTTTATAAGTTGCATTTATGCATGGCAGATCAAAACCACTACTCCCATGCTTCAGGGATGCACTCAAAAGGGAATATAAATTTATTATCAAACACATGAAGCAAAATGCAGCCTCAGAAGCATTCTTGTCTCGGTCTTGTTTCTGATCTCCAAATGGCACAGTGCTCTGGCATAATGACATAGTGCTAATCACACAGACAGTAGATTAGCCTAGCAGTTCTATCCTTGCTAGCTAAGACCTTAGCCACATATTTGACTATATGTGGCTATAAAACTGATTTCAAATCTACAAATATTTGAATAAAATCACATCTATCTCACAGAACTGTTGGAGGATGAGTCATTATAAAAGAAATAATAGGATACCTGGCACACAGTTGTTGTGAAACCATATTTATGCAGCTAATATGCAAGTGAACATGCTGTTAAATAAACATGAAAATCCAGCTCAAGGTCTTAGTTCCTTCTCTGATGGCTTGTGTGATCCTGAATAATTCACCTAGCTTTTGTGTAGCTCAGCTACTAACCACAAAATAAGGATAATATTGACTTATGATGTCTACATAAAACTCACAGATAGCATGTGGAAGTGTAAGACAGAACACAAATTCACATGGCTCTTATTTAATTTTTCTATATAAACAAGCACACAGAAAACAATTGCAAAGATTTTATTTAGCGGCTTTCTGTGCTTGGCACTCAGAAACAGTTCCGTGCTTAAGGGCAAACTTTTATACACCTTTTCTTCATACATATTTTACATACCCTTTTATTGCCCCTTTTTTAATATTCATAACATTGAATACCCCACTAGGCATATAAATACATTTATCTACAACACCTCAAAACCAAAAAAAAATCTTAATAATATCTGTATTATCTTACTTGTTATCATTTGCGTTTCCACATCATTTAAAAATTTTAGCTTGCAGCAAGCTTCACTTGTTTTCTTATCATTAAAGGATTTGAAAGAAAAAGGAAAGGAAAAAACAATCCCCAAACTTCAGAATGCAATGAACCAGTTGATAAAAGTGGAGAGCTACAGGCAGGTAGAAAGGGAGTAAGAAGACCCATCTGCAGTTCTCTCCGGTGTCTCAGGTTTCTCTCACATAGGACCAGGGGCACATTGTCCAGGTCAGTGCTTCGGGTTTGAGGCCAAACCTGTCTTCCACGATTGTTTTTGATTTCACGTGGGAGATAAAAAAAACCATTCTTCATTCTCCAGATCCGTTTCTCTCACCCTGCCAGGCTGCATGCCATGAGCAGCACTACTCTGTCCTGGGCCCTTACATCAGAGCTGTGGAATCAAGCACTTCTTGTCCTAGCCCTTTTCATTGGTACCCTTGACTTTAGGCTGGGTCCCAAAGAGGCTCACTCTCCAATAACACCATCATTCTTTCTGTAACTTTAGGGGCTCCTCATTTGTTCACATCTTCTCGGTCTTGCTGTCCACTCTCTCCTGCTCTCGATTCTCTTTCTCTCTCCCAGCTTTTCTCACCCTGTCCTTCCATAGGCACTAATAGAACATCAATGATGACATGCTGAATGAAGAGAGGCGAAAGTTTAAAAGCAATCTTTCTCAGGAAGCCAAGTCCAGTTGTACCACTGATGTCTTTCCTCCTCAGTGATGCAGAGAAGTTGTAAGGTACAATAGAATGGTTCATTCCAGAAACATGGTAAGCTGCAAGGGAGAAAGGCTAATGGCTAATGATGACCCAATCCATCTAGGGTTGTATACAGACAGATATTTGGTGAAAGCACCCACTCTGGGCCTCCCTTCATAGAGTTCACCCAGTTCAGAGTCAATGTATCGAATGTTTGTGTTTGTATTACTTTGTGTATGCATATGTGATGTGTGTGCATGAATAGGTGTGTGTCTGTGTCTGTGTGTCTGTCTGTATGTATGTATGTGTAATTATTCTTGGCTGCTAAATGCTAACATCTCCTTCAACATTATTATAAAATGATTGTTCAGTCTCTTCAAGGCCACTCTGTCATATACAATGTTTTTATAAAACTACGAGTTTGGAAGGCAGAAGAATGACCACTGAGTTATGGATGATGCACTCCAAAAGGATCCTTCAGTGGTATTTATTGCTGTTCTCTGTTTTCCTTATTCAGAATAAACAAAAACAAAAACAAAAACAAACGCACAATTCCTATTTTCCCAAGGCACGGGGTTCCCAGAGAGGAAGGCCCCCCCCAAAGAGATTCTGGAGTCTTGACTACCATCACCTCCATGGAGTTTGGATTGATCTTTAAACCATGTGTACTGACATCTGGGAGGAGGAGCCTGGGACCGCCCCATACTGCCGGCCATCACAGGTGTTGGTAGCCTGCTGATTATTAGCTGAAGGACTGATCATATGCATACCGTGCTCCATCCCTGTGGGCAGGTACTGCCTCTCTCCAAAGGCCCCATTGGAGGGAGAAGAACAGAGTAAAGTGCTTTGAGATGCGCTCAGTTTTTCTGGGCTTGCAGCTAGCCTGGGGGAGGTGGGGAAATTGTATCCATACAGATTGTAGGGATTGTGAAGGGAGAAGGCATTGTAGGAGCTCTGCTGCATGTGGCTGCCACCAAACATGTGTGGTGATGAGGAGCTGGAGGCCGCATTGCCTGCCTGCATAACATACTGAAACTGAGAAGTGGGGAAGGACCCCAGCTGGCCGCCATAGGCTTCCATCTTGCTGTTGCTAGGCAACGAGGGAGGCGTTGGTATTCCTGAGATCAGAGATGGAGTCCTCTGAGGCATGAAGGTTTCAGAGGGCTGAGTGGCTGAAGCCGTGCCACTCTGGAGCCTGTTGTAGCCACTGTCACTCAGCCCTGGATAGCTCTGTAAGGCAGCCATGTTGCTTCGGGCACATGGTGGATAATCAGAGAGGTTTAGATTACACAGCTGGCTTTCTCGACAGCCCACGTTGAAAGTATTGGGGGCCAAATGAAAAGTTGGAGGAGAACAGGATGGAGATAAGAGATGAGAAGAAGCCGAAGGGGACGGTGTCCCGGTGCTGGAGGTGGTTGGGGAAGTACCTGTACTGCCCCCTGAAAAACAAAACATAAATTCCATTAATTAAGATGTCTAGGCCAAAAATCCTACATTCTTACAGATCAATTGCTTCCTTTTACATCAGAAGATGATGTCACATGTTTGAGAACACATTACAAAGGAGAGGACAAAGGATGACACAAGACCACTAGTCTTTGCATTTCTTCCTATAATGGTCTTAGTCATGCTTTAAAATTTTAGAACAAACCTCCAGTGTTCATTTTTTTTTTTTTATTTTCTGACCATTGAAATCACTTTCTAATAAGACTTTCAGTGATCAGCAATAGAAACCACTAGTTCATCTCTTCCCATGCTCAGGACAATTGTGTAAGGTGTGTATTTTATCCTGCAACTCTTTCCTATCTTGCAATCTTCAGTAGGATGGAGGATGGAGCAGGATGCCAAATGGGACTTAAACCTGAGAAACCATGGCAAAGGGGCTTAGGTGGTAGAACCTGAGACATTGAATTGGAGGTCTGGCATATTATATCAAAGACACATACACATAAGATATAGGCTAAAGTGAGTCAGGACTAACTTGAAACAAAATCACAGTCCTGAGGATCTACTGATCTTCGTTGACAGAAGCCTGCCAATTCTGAGAGACTGGACGAAGAGTTGTATGTGGAATACCTGAGTGTGGATGTGTTTTAAGCTAAACCAGCCATAAACTAATCCAAATGTCAGACGAATGGATTCTACTCTTGGCTCTGCACACTAACCCAACTGCCTCATTACCACCATAGCTTTCAGTTTCTTCATCATAGATAAGGAATCAGTAAGATCAGTGGTCCTGAAAAGTCCTGCCATTTGAAAATGCTGCTATGCCAGGATTCAAACTCAAACCAACTAATGGAGAGTTTCTAAGCATGAGAATTCCATGTTAGCATATTTCAAAGCTCCTCTAATGTGCAACCAGTGTTGAAAGGTGACAATATAATATGAGTTCCTACTTTACAGTATGCAGATCAGTGATTCTAAAACTTCAGTGTGCAAATGAGTCAGCTGGAGGGCCGATGAAAACAAGTTGCTGACTCCATCTGGCTTCTGAATCTGGGTATATGGGGAGGTACGTTTCAGATCCAGATGTTGCACTTTGCTATGGAAGACCTTCAAAATCCTATTTTCAAATAATCTTGAATCTGTCTTGCAAAAAGCTGATCATCAGCCATGTAGATGACAGGCTGTATGAATGGTTGAGGTTCCAACGGATGAAGAAACAGTTCAAGTCAACCCTCGTCGAAGATGTTCTCCAAATAAGAAAGCCAAAGGAGACCTGTGCAAGGCTTATCTTGCTCAGGGGTAGGAAGCATCCACTCTCTACCTCTTTCAGTGGACCTCAAGGGCAGTAATTGCTTGGGGTAGCTGAACCTTCACTGAATCCTAGAATATTCAGCTCTTTTGTCCTCTCTAGAATCCTTTTTGATGAATTTCCTTTCATGCACTAATATGGTGCTTCTCCTAATTGTTGAGAACCATGGTTCTTCAAAGGACAACATGTCTTAAGTTACTGATAATTCTTATTGAGGCTCCAAGAAACTAACCATCACGAGGAGGTAAGGAATGAGTTTTGTTTCATTTTGATCGATGAAGAAAACCAGGAACATTCCAGACGTAATGGAAAAATATCTATAGTATTCTAGGAAGGGGAGAAGCTGGTAAAGGGAACAAATAGCCTCAGCCCAGATCCTGAGGCAAAGTGGAAGTACTGGTGGTAGAAGGAAAAATTTGGCTTTGCTAGTATTTTGTTCAGAGTTAAATTTTTATAGATCAGTTAACATCATCACAGTCAAAGGAATTTCCCTCAGTGAACTTTCAGATCCAATTGAAATTTGAAGACAACCCAATCAGTTCTAATTTTAGAGTCATATCAGAAAAATCTCCTTTCATAACAAATTCCCATAAAAAAAAGAACTAAAATGATTTTTGTTTGGCAGTCTATTATAAGGCTGGCATTGTCAAAAACTACAAGCAGCTGGTCATGGTGAGAGGAGCTTCTCTTCAGTTTATAGTCACACACTATGACATATACCTCCTGAGTTCACCACAGCTGTGCAACAAAGGGCTTGAGCCAGTGAGCCCCACTTTCCCTCCTTGTCATGCTGTAGCTGCATCTAAGGATTAAAGGAAGTATAGATAGTCAACTCCAAGTGCTTTCCAAGAAACCACTTTAGTATAATGAGGGTGTCCTGGAAGGGGAAGATTCTGGAAGCAGAAGCTGACCATGCTTCCTGCTGCTGAGTAGCTGGATGGCCTCCTCTCCCTCAATATCCTACAGAAAGCTCATAGGGTTATGTATTCCTCCTTGAGGCATCCTATACACATTTTCTGCTTCTCTACCCTAAATGCCATGAACTTTACTGCAGTAAATGCTGTGGCACAAATGGAGAAACTTGACTCCAGCTGTAAAGAGATTTGTGTTTTATGAGATAGGAATACAGTCTCCTGTCTTTGAAAACTACTCCTGCTTTCCCTGGTATGGTGTTTATGTGGCCCCCAAGGAGGCCACCTGCTCAGCACACTGTCCTATCCTGTTGTAGGTGAGCTCTATCAGGCCCCAGCCTCAGCCCTGCAGCCGGAAGTACACGATGGAGCAGATGACGTTCTACAACTCTAAATGGCTTTCTCAGATGGCCCAAGATGGAACGAATGGTACTGATTTAAGGCCTCAATTGGTTTCACTACAAAAAAAAGAAGGAGAAGAAGAAGAAGGGAACTATTAACAAGTTACAGGGGTTTCTGCTGAGCAGATGAGAGGCACATGTTAAAAAGTTTGTAGTCAGCTTGCTTTGGCTTTTAAATGACATTCGCTGGAAATGAGACTTGGTGGCCTGCTGAGCTTCAGGGGGTTGGCAGCCTCCACATGAGCTAGGGTTTGAAGGAGAGAGTAAGCCTGTCCAAAAGAGGGTCACATTGCTTTCATCCGCTTTGAAGAAACATTGTTATGCACTTAAAGTACTCAATACAGATAATAACTAGTTCTCAAAGTCCACATAGAGAGAGGACTGTGGTACTCATTTTGTAGAAAAGCGAACTGAGATACTGAGTCTTTATTCTCTTATGATGTAATGGCTTGTCAAATGTTAAACAAGATTGGGAGTGCCAGCCAAGTGCTAAATAAGCTTAAGGAGGCAGCCCCCCCCCAATGCATTTCAACACTTAGCTAAGCAGAGACCTCTCATCACAAAAAAAAAGCCAGGGCAATGTGGGAAGCCAGGTTGGGCTGATCAGGGCTGACTTTCAGAGTAACGCTTGTCTCCCTGACCACTGTAGTGCCCCTTTGTTCACCCCATCTCCTCTGTCCCTGCAAGGTCGTGGGTTCTCTGAGCATCTTGATATAAATTTGCTTAAAAGACAAATGTGGACTGTAGATGTGAATGAACCTGATTCTGATCCCTGCTATCTTACAATGGAGTCTTGGTTAATCAGCCTCTGGGAACTTTGAGTTATATAAGTGGGTTATCTAATAATTACCTTTCTGGAGATATTTTGAGCATATTTTGACATATAAACATTAAACATGCTCTTTCACGGGAGAAGGAGTAAAGAATGTTCACTCTGATGGAGATGGCCTCTGTTCAGGGAGAGCTGGGCATCTTGGTCTCTATACCCACTAATGAGCATGATGTCACAAGATGTATGCGTCATATTATTTCAGGCTAAAAGAACCTCTATGGTGTGGATGATGGAAGGCATCACTAATTGACAGCTCTGGGCCCACCTGAGCCATGTTCCCAAAGGTACTCTAGTTCCTATTTGAACCGTCTGTCCTTCCTCCTTACTCCATGAGCCCATGAAGGAAATGAGCTGTTCCCTGGCTCCATTTCTTCTCAGATCAAGCAAAGCAGAACTGATTGGATATAAGGAAGTACACTGGTGGCTTTCCCTATTGTCCTCAGAGATCCTTGCCCACTTCTGAAAGGGGATTAAAACATAATGCTTTTAATAACTTCATATTCTTAGGTAATCCAGAATTAATCTCCACCATTCCAGCCCCTTACCCCCTATTTTACTCAGGGACCAAAGTGAGGAGGCACACATTAAATTGCATATCCAACATTAGCTCGTGCCAATATTCAAGGCTAAGAGCCAAAGCAACCAAGAATGCATATTTAGTGGTGAGCCCATATGAGGACAATAACCTAGAATACACTTGTGTACCATGAAGACAAGTTAAATGTGTCCGTGAAAATCCTGAATACCAAACCTGCTGACTTTTGCATCTTTAAATTGATAGCTTCCAGATTGTAACATGGGGGTTTTCACATGCAGCTTCCTTTTGAGTTTATTTTGTTATGCTACACACACACACACACACACACACACACACACACACACACACACAGAGAGACACCAACAAGATAAAACCCCATCTGGATGAATAAAGAATAAATTTCCATGTAACTACTTGTTCTACTGGCTAGGCTCTTCCCTCCTTATAACTTGATGGTGTCTGTCCCTTCAGAGCGCTGGTCCCTGATGTATTCAGACATGTAAGAGCTAAAACATCAGCAGCCCATGACCTGATCCCAGTGAAGAAGCCCATAGGCCACAAAGTTTAATGAGCATGGCAACTGAGAAATTATCCTCAGCTGAAATGAGAAGTTTATTCATGATGCAAATATGAGCACTGTGGTCCTAATGGGAATCTTCTGGTTTCGTAGAAAGATAGAAACCTCCTTCATCCCTTTCCATCAAATGTAAAGCCCTGCATAGCTCCAAATTTATTCTCCTTCAAATATCCTCTCCCAATCACCCTGCTCTGTACCTTGCCCTATTTTGCTGCATTCCCTGGGTATGCCAACCCCAGTTTCTTAGCCTCCCTCACTTGCTTTCCATGCTCAGCCTTCCTTTTTGTCACATGCAACTGTTTCATTCAATCAGCTTCGATTGGGGAACGATGCTTCCCTCCCTCCCTTCTCTCTCTCTCTCTCTCTCTCTCTCTCTCTCTCTCTCTCTCTCTCTCTCTCTCTCTCTCTCTCTCTTCCTCGGAGCC